CCCTCAGTGAAAAATCATTATAGGAAAAAAACCCTAAACATTAAGAATTTTCCTAATTATGACATGTTTAGCTGTATTCAGAGTCTCTGCATGAAATCCACATAATGTAGCCATGCACAAAGCAATTGCTCTGTCTTCATCTGTCCCCTGTTGACTATGGTTCAGGTGAAATTAATGCATTAAATGATGGAATGTAACTCAAATTTGGTACAGCTTTTAGAAAGCCTTAATCCTGAAGGTGGTTGCCAAAAAAATTTTGTTGTAGAAGATGCACATAACAGCAGATGCACCTAGTATCCTTTTCTGAATGGAAAGTACTGACTTAAACCATTTAAAAAGTGTGTAACCAGATAGAAAAGGTGCAGGAGGTGTACCTCCTTGTCTGAAATCTGGTGGGTTTGGCAAGTTACTAACTAGAAGTACAAGGATTAAGGAGATGATGTTAATTTGAAAACTGGAAATTAATAGGGTACACTTCAGGAGTGACAATTCCTGTTTTGTTCCAGTTTTAAGCATATTTCAAAAGGTATCAGATCCTCATGAAACAACTAGCTATTCCTCCATCTGAAAATTCAACTCTTGCTCACTGAAAGATACTTTCATCCACCTCAATTGCTTTGAATTTACCTATTTATTTAGCCTTGGCGACCAGGGACTACAGAAGCCACTTGGCCCTTCCTAACAACAACTAAGAAAAAAGTTAAAGTGAATACATGACTGTATGTCAGCTGAACAGTTCTTACGTGTCCTCCCCACTCCTGCACATGATCTTCACACCTTTTTCTACAGCACTCAAGATATTTGTATGTTAAGCATGACTTACAGTCTTCTCTACCAGCACAAGAAAAGCAAAACCCTTTGGCAGCAGGGACATGGTATGTGCCTGCAATAGTATCAGATGAGTCTTTCAACCCACCCCCTGGCAAGGTGGCAAAAGCAAGGGCACGAAGGGACAGAACAGTAGGAAAACCAGTAGGCAAAGTGGAGAAAGCCATTAGGAGAACAGCACCTCAACCTCCTACACTGCCTGACACCTCTCTGAGCAAATTTCGGCTGAGAGACTGTAATCTACGGGGAAAACAAGGGAAGCTGAGACTGGGGAGGGGGGAGGATACATGTTTTTACACGTCTGTGTAGCCTCCCATTGCTAATAGCATGGTTTCCCTA